AAAAAACTACTTATAAGTAGAAGTCTTTACACTTCAATGAATTGAATGCAACGAAACATTTCAGACAATTACTTGTATTTTGAGGATATAGTGACCAATATTGGACTCAATTGTATAACATTGTATGTCTCGCCTCCTCTTATTTCTATCAATAGATACTCTCTTTCTGTGTATATATCGGTGAAGAAGATGTCGTTGAGAGAGAAAAATGGTCACCAATTGATGAGAAGAAATCCTCTATTCCTCCGTCTATTTCTCTCTCTCTCTCTCTCTCTCTCTCTCTCTTTCTTTCTTTCTTAACCCTAACAAATAAGTAATTGTATATACTGTATACAGTGCCGTAAAGTATTGAAATGTAAATCATAATTGTAAATTTTTAGCAATGCAAATGTTTTTATTAAAAATGTACTTTTTCAGAGATCTTTCATAGATTAGTCTAATAGACATAAAATTGATTTTAAATTAAAATCAGTGGTTGTATTAAAAACTGGATATATTATACCGTATTTTGTTACATAAGATAATATATTGTAATTTCTATAAATATAAATATTTTATTATTCAAATGAATAATTTATATTTAATATTATGTAATAACAACACCGGTTACAGAAATATTTCATAAATCCATAATAGTAACACAACATAACATGGTATTTCACAATCTATTATGTAAAGTAAAAATTGCATTTTTACTTTGAATTTATATTTCGTCTATTTTTGAAATAATTGAATTTCATTTTAAGCCATAAATTAATTATTGTTACCCTTTTTCCCACACAAACACTGCCGACAAACACATTCATACTGTAAACACAATCCCAGAATAAACTGGACATCGAGTGACCCAATTGTCACCCTATTTAAGCCCCAAACTTACCACATATAAGATCAGTCAATAGAGAAAATTACTATTGTTATTACAATTTGTAGTAACGTATATTAAATGCTATTATTATAGTTTTGAATATGAATGAAAATTAATATACAATGTATTGTTATAATTAAACATTTTCATTTAAATATACAAACAATTATTGTTTTCAAAAAATGTAATATAATTTTATTATGAATAAATGCCAAACAAACATCTATCGCTCAAAAACAAGTATAATATTAAATTAAATGGCAATTGGGATGATGTGGTGTTTTAAATGTCATTCACCACCAATACATTCAATTATACATTAAATAACAACAGAATTAAACTAAAACAAATACAACCAAAATGTATTATTAAATTTATATTTACTTTCATTACAATTGACGGAAAAATAGACATTAGTTTTTCTTTATATAATATGTAATGTCATATTATTATTTCTCGTATTATTATTATAATCTACAATACTATGTATAATCGCCGCATGAATTGATTACACAAATGCCTACGAGATCTGCATTTTATCAAAGATGTGACCAAACATTATCTCAATGTTATGGTAAGGGGTTTGGAGACAATGCTAGTGTCAGGCAGTGTCTTGAGTATAAGAGTTTCAATTATTTATACAATGTATGCCTATTTTAATGCTGTTTATTGTCCTTTTTTGTACGATAAGAAACATTATAATGAATACCGATAATCATTGAATGGAAATAAAGGATGTATTTTCACCCCATAGTAACGATATGAGGATTAATGGCAATTGCAATGAATAACGAGATGATCTTTTTTTCTAACTAACTCACTTCAATTCACCACACTTTATATATGGAAAATAATATGTATATATAATACATAATATGTGAATAATTGAATCAAATACTATTTCTTGAACACAAACTTTGGTCCAAAAATAATTTTAATAAAACAATTATTAAGGAATACGAATATGATATTTAATATATACGGTGTTTCACTTCCAGATAAGTTTGCATTTGACTTTCAGTTTGAGATGAGAATCGATTTCAGTTACGAAAACATTATTGCAAATGAATTTCATGATAAAGAAAATAAGATAGAAAAACGAGAGAGAGAGAGAGAGAGAGAGAGAGAGAG